CAAAAGAGGCCCCAGTCATGCGTATTCAGGCTCCCGCTGAAAACCTTTTCACACCGGCCGTTAGTTGTGAAGCCTGAACATTTAACTAACTTCTGGCCCAGCCCCTCGATAAAGCTTCGACTGTGGCCTTAAAGTCGCCAAATAACGAAAAGTCACCGACCATTTCTTACCTGTCTTAGGCGGGTTCCTCTTCACTTTCATCCAGTCGAAGGTCTGTCCCTGCCCGGCCTGCTGGCCGTCCTCATCACCCCTCCCTCGGTCCTCAGAGATCGGCAGCTCCCCGTAACCTCCCCTGAGAGGAAGCCCCAGGTAGCCTGCGTCCAGACCACCTCCGAGCTGCTGCGGGTACTGTGACCCTGTCAGAGCGCCATGAGGCCCGCAGTAGGCCCCGGGCAGGGCCCCATAGCTGGGACCGATAGTGGGGGCCGTGCTGGGGAAGGATGATTGATGATAGTAGGTAGAGGCCACAGGCTCCTCCATAAAATACTGAGGGTGAACAGTGTTGGAAGGGCCCGTTGTGGCGACATACTCCGAGCTTGCAGAACAGGTCTGGCTCGTGTAGGCCACAGTGTTGCCGTTATTCCCGTTATTATATGAATGCAAAATTCCACTTTGTAAGCTTTGGGTTTGCTGAAGGTTAGGATGATGATGGTAGCTGTTGTGCGTCTGTTCATGCTGTTGGTGCTCATGGTGATGATGTGGATGTTGCTGATGATGCTGGCTCAGCCCTGTGGTCCCGTGCACTCCTCCACCGCCCGTGCCCGCTGCGGTAGCCCCATACAACCGCCTGTCCCCGGTGTAATTTGTGCTGTCACTTCTCGTCCCGTTAACGGGAGACGAGGAGCCCGGGGGTCCCGTGTGAAAGGAGGTCACCGGGAAGCTCTGATGCTGGTCCAGAGGATGATGCGCATGATGCTGATGGTGGTATCCGGATTTGGGCGTAGAATAAGCGCCGGTGTCCGGGCGGTTATAAATGGGGTATTCCACAAAGGAGTTCATGTTGTCCATGCAGACAGGAGGAATGGTGGCACTTCAGAATAACCAGCTTGAAGCAGGAACCCACAGAGACATCAAATATAGAAAAATCCCATCAAAAAGTGTAAATACAATAAAAATGTAAAAGTAGAGTAAATAGTATGGCGTCAAATAAATCACAAGAAGAAATGAAAACGAAACATCCAAAAGAAAACAAGTTTTTAGCAAAATGCAGAAAAAATACACATGAAAAGCGCAAATTCTTCCACTGGGAAGGAAAAGAAAGTGGAGACTATACGTTCCCAAACCTAAACACGCATGAATAGTGAGCTCCGCTGTGATGTTTGTCAGTGTGTGTGCGTAAACGGAAGGCCTGTCATTAGCTCAAGTCAGGTTGCGTTTCCAAAGGCTCATCGGTGACAGTGGAAAACACCGCGAGAACACAGAATACAGTCAGGTCACCTCCTCACCTACACACTAGTTACAGCCTGTCTTCCTCCATGCTGCTTCCCCCCTTCACTCTCTGTTTTCTCCTCTTTTCCTTGACTCTTTCTTCCTTATTTCTGTTTTCCGTGTCACTTCTTTTCTTACCTCTCTGGATCACGTGGCTCGTCGTCACATCGTCTGTGGTGACCGGAGGCCAGAAGTTTGTCAGCCGGTCACGGCAGCGGTGACACTTGTGTGTATGTGTGTGTGTAGGGGAGGGAACGGGACCCCTCGGTTCAGGAGTGGAGCTTGCGCGTGCACGTCTGTTTTGACGCACACGCCTAATCCATCACTCGCTGTGACATCAGCACGACAAAGAGACTTCAATCAAACCGGCCCATCAATCTGATATCAGCACGGATCTGTCAGAGCAAAGAGAGAGGCAGAGAATAAAAGAGGAGCTGTGAGCTGGCCTGCTGCTTCCAGACCTCCCCCTACAAAAGGCTGCCAGAAGGAACCAGTGTGTACTGTATGGGACACTATACTACTTCTCCTATTATTACTACAACTTTTTACTGCTACTTTAATACCTACTGCTACTAAAGGTCAAGTCAGGCTTATTCATCAAACATTTCTTAAAATTCTGCGGCTGCATACTTATTACTGTCGGTCTACTGCTGCTAGTCCTAGTATGATAACTATGTACAGCACACGTGTAAGTGTAATTAATTACAGAATAATCATTACAACTTGGATCTCTGTTCATCATTGATTTCAAATATAACAACATTGTTCACACCAGAGTCATTTCTGCAACATCACTGCAACACCACTTCACGAAGTGTGACAGGACAAGGAACACAAGCGTTATAGAGTCAACATGAATCATGAGATGCTGGGGCCCTGGGCACAGATATGGCAAAGGTCCCTACATCTCCTATACTTCTAGGACAAAGACTCAGACTGAACAAACACACAATGTGTAGTCAATTTGTGTCTTCTTGTGGTTGTTTTTAGTGATTTTGTGTCCATTTTTATTTGTATCTTGTGCATTTACTTTGCAACTCTTTTTGTTATTTTCAATCTCTTTTGTTCTTTTTTTGTCAATTTGTTTTTTTTTTTGCATCTGTAGTTGCTTTGTTTTTGTTGTTTTGCATATTTGTAGAATAATTTTACTGTCTCTCGGGTCATTTTCAGTCTTTTTTTAGTGGGTTTGTATTTTTTGTAACTGTTTTGCATCTATTTTCCCAATTTTGTGGCTTTTGTAAACATTTTGTAGTCATTTGACTGATTTTCCAACAGAAAAATTAACAGTCCCTTCATCATTCTCTGGTCTAGGGGTCCTCTGACCCCTTGGACTCCTGGGCCTGTGTACAGTAGGTCAATTCAGTAATCTATCCATGACTATAGGACATGTTGATTATTAATAATATATTTACCAACAACCAAAATAAAATTACAGTATCACATGACCAGTCTGACAATCAGACAGACTATAAGCAAATCAAAACAAATAAAAATCACCTGAAACACCTGAACTAAATGACTACCTTACCACTCTTTTGCAAATCTGTAAATTGGACCAATCTGGGATCTTGTCTACAGCCTTTGGCACGCTCCCAGTTCTCAGTAATTTACTTGGTGAGTGCAGTGTTACTGCCAAGAGATATGATGGCCAATACTACATAAATAAACCTAAAGTTGTAATAAAGTGGAATTATAATTTAAAAGGACTCTTCATTATTCATAACACACGTTCACACTTGGATCTCAGCCCAGGACCTACTAAAATTACACTTAAGATCACCAAGAACCAAAGGAGTGTGTCCAGTTCGGATGAATGCACTTTTGATTTGCAGATTCCAACCCTGCTTAAGGTCAAAGCCCCAGAGAAGGAGCATAAAAACAGCTGGAATTAGTCCCGGGCTTTTTCTAACTTTGAGTTTGGTGCAACAGAGGTGTTCACACCAACACTGCCAGTGTTTGCAAGAAATCATTTATGAATGCAGCCTGCAAATCTGCTGTGAACATGCTGGCGCTACAGTGAGTCTAACTCTGTGCTGAGTGCCAGTTGTTCAGTTTGGACTACCTTAAATCTGTCCATGTGCAGCTGATTGACTGCCTCACATGACCTCTGCAGTAACATTTGCCACTGATTGAATGTCTACATAATACCGTGTACATTCATCTTTTGTTGCACCTCTTCTGTTTGAGCCTTTTGGCAAATTTCCCATCACCTCAGAACATTTTTCTTTCTTCTATCCCTCCTTTGCTAACACTCATCCTCACTTTAAAGAATATTGATTTGACTTCATCTCTTATTTGCACATTTTCCTTACAAGATGGTGCAAATCCAAAGGTTTCTATTGATCATCACAGAGAACCTGATCACAGGCACTTTTGGGAATCACTTTACTTTTCAACAATTGCTTTGGAGGCCATAGATTTTGGTGGCTGAATGTGCATGAGTGAGTGCTCACATGAGAGGGTGTGGGTGTGTTTGCTAATTGAATGAATGAGCTGATCTGTTATAGAAATGAGGTTAAGGCAGACAGGAGGCCTTCTGGTCGACCAAACCCTGCCAGTCCAGCAGGACAGAAAGCAGCAATCGCCTTGACAACAATACAATCTACTTTTTGTGCGTGTGTGTGTAAAACAATGGTCTGCAGCTTTTGCACATGACTGAATTTGTGCACGAAGGAGAGTCTGTTTTTTTGCAGATTTTTATGATATGTACCACTTGACAAATGTCTTTCTTGTGGTTTTGTTACACTTTAGGGCAAAAAAGAGAAAAGAGCTAAATCTGTTCATGTCTAACAAATGTTTACTAATGAAGTGTGTGTTTCAGAGTTTGGACCCCTTCTCATTACTCGTTACCCCATTATAACTGCCTCCAATGAAGCCATCATCCATTTCTCCCCTGCAGACCCTCTCTGAAGGGCCTGACAGCAGACGCACCGTCGTCCCACAGCCGCGATGCAATCAGAATGAGCAGTGTGGGCGTGCGACAAGGAGTGAGGTTAATGATCAGTGAGGGACTGAAAGGAGAAAGATGGAGAGCAAGTGGGCACGAAGTGTGCAGGAACACACCGAGACAAGAACAAGATTAAATGACGCCCACGTGGCTGTCTGGGTGGTGGGGAGACTACAGGAGAGTGTGAGAGAGAGAGGTCAAAAGGTCAGAACTAAAATGTGTCTCTGTGGCTACATATAGTAAATTCATGTGGTAACTTAGTTGTGTTTTGTTATTTCATTCTTTGTTCAGAGAGGTTTTTGTGCAGTTATTAAGTTTTATATCTCATTTCCAACATGTACCAATATATGATCTGGTCAACCGAGCCATGCCAGTCCAGCAGGACAGAAAGCAGCAATCGCCTTGACAACAATACAATCTACTTTTTGTGCGTGTGTGTGCAAAACAATGGTCTGCAGCTTGTGCACATGACTGAATTTGTGCACAGAGGAGAGTCTGTTTTTTGGAGATTTTTATGATATGTACCACTTGACAAATGTCTTTCTGTATCTAGACATTGACATCTGATCCTGGGTGTTAGCATTGCATAGACTAAAACAACGTTTTTCTCCATCTTAAAAGCAGAACTTTTCCTGAACAGCGACAGAAGCTGCTCAGTGAGGGTCTGGGACTGTGTAGCAGTAAAGTTAGCACAACCTCTAGTCACGTCCAACGTTCACAGTTTATTTTAAAAGCAGATATACAGTACATGTAGCTAACTGTAAAACAGAGCCATTGTCATTAATCTGCATTTATATAGATTTTATCAAGCAACATTCTGATGGTGTAATAATGATTTATTCAGTCTAAATCCTGACCAGCTATTGGCTGTGATGCTGTATTGCTTGCCAACTATGACCGAACACTACTGCTGATATTAGCTCCAGCCCCCCTGTAGTCCTGCACAGGATTAGCAGTATAGCTACTGGATGGATGGATGGATGGATGGATCTACAGTTGGTGCAAATAATTTTCACATGAAAAATTATGTTTCATAATTTAGACAGCCACAGCCCCAGGCAATGTCACCAAAGTGTTTGGTTCCCCCAGTTGGCAGATCAATAAAGTTTGTTATTTTAGCTTTAAAAATTGGAATTGGAAATTCAAATCATTGCCAAATATTTTTCTGCCAATCAGCTAATTAATATATTCACTAATCATTTCAACTCTGAGGTAGAGCTTGTCTGGACTGTTTGAGGTGTAGCTTAAGATATCAGGAAGAAGAGCTAGGTGACCTTTCAACATGTTTTTCTCTTCGCAGTATAATCAAACTGTACACCCCGCATTTACACCTGGCTCAGAAATGAGCTAGTAAGAAATATTTAAAGCTTTAAGTTATGATTCAAACATGTCTTTGCAAAACAAAAGTTTAATGACTGGTGACTCAGTGTTGTCGTATCAACCCACAGTGCCATCTATCAAGCATTAAATCAGCCAGTAGCAGGTCACAGCTTCATACACAGCTTGTCATGGTTAGCACTGTCCATCAGACATTGTGTACTACAGACAGGTGACAAATAAAAGTAAAAAAAGTGAAAGGAAATACCTGAATAAATGAGTGGCCTCCTCCAGGATGACAGTGCTCCCATCCACAGGGCACAAGGGGCCACTGAATGGTTTGATGAGGATGAAAATAGTGTGAATCATGTGATATGGCCGTCACAGGCACCACATCTCAACCCAGCTGAACATCTATGGGACATTTTAGAGCGACGTGTTAGACAGCGTCTCCACCAGCATCATCAAAACACCACCTTAGGCAATATCTTATAGAAGAACAGTGTTCATCCCTCCAGTAGTGTTCAGACTTGGAGGATCAATGCCAAGGAGCACTGAAGCAGTTGTGGTGGCACAAGGTGGCCCAGCACCTTACTGAGACACTTTATGTTGGATTGTCTTTAGTTTGTCATCTGTCTGTAAGACTACAAATGCTTCAATATATTCTAGTATGCATCTGGTTCTTTTTTCAGAACACAGAACACAATAAATTGTCAATTTATACATTTTATAAATAGTTGAATATGTAATTTCTGTACTTCATTATTGATTCTATATCATCTTTTATGGTTTGCATAAAACTCTCTCTCTCTCTTTCTCTCTTACAGGAAAACTGGAGCTGAGGGTCTTATATGGACACTAAAGGTGCCTTTTAACATCAGTAAAGGTACACAAAAGGTAATTGACAAAACATTTGATGTCCTGGGAATAAGAATTTGTTCCAGTTTCCTAGATTTTTCCAGTATCTGTACTCCACAGGAGTATTTATTTTTTGGACAGCTTTTTACTTTTACTTCATTGTAACACAAATATCTGTGCTATCTACTCCTTACATTTTCAAATCAAGCTTGTTACTTTTAGTTTTAATCAATTTTCAGGGTATTATCAATTATTTTTATTGACACAATAAATCACACTGCTGACAAGTTGATACATGGACTTCATATCTTTGAAGAGGCTCTCGACTTAAAGAAAATGTATACCATTATATTTTACACAGCGTTCCAAAGGGTTTAATATTTTGTCCTTTCCTCTTTTTTTTATACATTTCCCAGCAAATTAGACAACAGCACTGTGAATTTTCACACAATGACACACAACAATTCATATTATTAGCACCAAATAACAGTTTACATTTTTTTAGTTTTGACAAAATCCTTTAAATATATTTGTGGGTAGATCCATCACTACTTCTCGACAGATTGAACTTCATACCTTCTGTAGGTTCATGACCTCCAGGTTGGCTCTGTCTGATTTCTGTCTTATCTGAGGTCAGGAGTGGAATTTTAGGATCAGCTAAGACCCATACCATCCAAGACTATATGCTCCTGGTGCTGACGGTTTGAGGTGCATCCAGGATGTATCAGTCCTGGATCAGGTTAATGAGAGACATTATTAGTAAGCACAATTTAAACTTGTGTGCACTATGAGTTACTCATTGCTTTGTAGAAATGCACCATGTCTGTCTGTCTCCTCTCAGACAGGTCAAATTACTCCAGAACCAGTAAATTACGCTTCAGTATTCCTGGAAAAATGTGTATATGTGCATATGTGTGTGTTTGTGTGTGATATGAGGGGCTTTCTGTAAATTATGAAAGATGATATATGAGAGAGAGTGAAAAAGAGACATTGACAAAGTGGAGTAAAGAGCACAGTTGTGCATCCAGAATGCTGACATTGATGCTTTAGGTGCGAAACCTGACCCACTGATATGGCCGCATAATAGCATTTATCAACCCTTATTAATAACATTTATACATACACATCTCAGCTGATGGAAAAAGATAACAAGCGAGTGTGACAGCACTGCAGAGGCTCAACCTTTTGGTTTTTTCCTAATGGTGTTTTAAAGCAATAAAGATTAAATTTAAGTTTATAAAGCTGGTCTTGCAAAACAAATGCTGCATGTAGCCAGGTAGTGTGGTGAATTGTATACCTTTCCCTGCAATTTAGTTTATTTTTTCTGTAAATCTGAATTTCATTTTGTTCAGCTTCTGACTGACACCAGAATGTTTTTTTCACCTCACAAGGAGTTTTATAACTTATAATCTTTTCACGTTTCACTGTCTTATTTTAGACATATATTAACAGGTCTCCAGGCTGACATGAGACAATTATAGCACACTGCATTACTGATACTGTAAGCAGTTTGGGTTTGTAAAGTTACTCCATTGGTTCTATATCCTATTAAAATAAGTCCATTAGTCAGCCAAGATGTAAACAGCATTCAGCAGCAAAGCCAGATTAGCTACAATTTTACTTGGAGATGAAACGGAAACTGAATGCATCAATTTTTCTAACACTCACTGCACAGGAAAAACTGTGAGTGTGCATAACTGTGATAAGTAGTCTGACCTGCCTGTTTTGACTAACCTTCAGTATCTGGGTCAATTACAATCTGCCTATTGTTTGACTGCTCATGTTTCTTGTCCCTCTGGACTTTGTTGTAGTGATGTATATGTTCTCAGAAGTGAGAAATTACTTTGGTGTCATCACTAGAGAAGTAAAACTCTACTTATTTCTCTCCACATAAAATAAAACAATACTACTGCTACACTCAGTGGGCTAGTGGAAGTTTTCACCTCAAATACATTAACAGTGAATGCATGAATAAAATGGTCACAAATAATATTTTTGTTTTCCACCAAAATTTCTGATCTTACAGTCCAGTGTCTTGTACTTGTTTTGGCTCCTGCATTATTATCCTTTTTTATGGTCACATTTGGGCTCTCACAGAACTGGACTGAAGTTAGCAAAAGATCTGGGATGAGGTTAATACAAAATACTCTGGTCTTTCACTAACCTTAACCAGACTGCTTTGGGTAAACCTAAAGTAGATTAAAAAGGAGCATGATGACATCTCCAGTGACTCTACAAGGACCCTTTTTTTAGTAATGGAAGATCATGGGGACATCAACTAGTTCCAAACTTCAGCAGCAGTGCCATAAAGTTACACTGACCTGACTGCTATCTACTAAAGTAAGAAGATTAACTCAATACCAGCAATTATACTTGTGACATTTTAAGTGAACAATGTGTCAAAACATTTATACATGTTTTACAACCTTTTTAACTTTCTTCCTCAAATATTGTGTCACAAGTAATAATTTGGTGAAGTAATAATCCTGCTGTTAATCGGCCTCTTGGAACTATTTGAAGCTACATGAGTCATGTGGCCCCGATGACCCTGTTCAGGACTCAGCAGTTTAGAAAATGGATGGATGGATGGAGTCACATGGCCCGCTGTCGTTTTTGACTTCTCACTGTCAGCTCTTCCATCTCAAGGTCTCTGCGTAAACCTAAGCACAGATGGAAGTCTGCATGCAAACCTTGATGTCTGGTGTGAAAATTGTGTACATTGTACCAACATCATCCACCTCAGCCACCTTCTAGTTGTAGTGGATTCAGATTTTGAGCAGGGTAGAGTTTAAGTTTAAATCTTTGTTGCTTTGATTTTTGAGATGTCAGTTCACTTACTTTGCTGGTATTGCAGCTGTGAACTATTTGGAGGCCTCTGGTTTTTAAGCTATTTTAGCCTGGCTCACCAGTGTATCTTGTAACAGACACCAGTAGACCTTTATAGCTCTTCTGTGGGCGAAAAATCTAGTCTTGATGAGAATGAGTATAATATATATATATAGATATACAGTATACAGCCTAGTATAATATTACTGGAAACTGAACAAAACCATTGGTTGTTAAATGCATCTTTCTCAGTGATTTTGAGAAACATGGTCCTTTTCTAAATACCTACTGTAAGTGTATCTAGACAACTTGATTTTGCTTCATTAATTGTATTACCTTTCTCAGCTCATGAATGTGATATATATATATATATATGCTGTATGGCTGATTCTACTTCTTTGTTCATTATGTGGAAATTAAATAAAACCAGCTTTAATCAAGTGTGGCCTGGTGAGCTCTGATAAACTACCACATCCCCACAGAAACTGCCAATATATGATATATGCCATGTGAGTAGGTACTCGTAAATACCAGATCTAGTTACTGAGGCACATTTTTTCTAATTATAGAGATATTTTCCCATTGATTTCAATACAGTGAGAAATTTCATTTCCATCATCTAGAGGTCATTAGAAGAACTGCAAGCTCAAGACACTTTAGTGCATTATCATGCAGCTACTCTGCCCACCTCTTGGAATAACACTTATTAAAACTGTAAAATAAACATCAGTTCAGATGTTCAGACAGAGGTCAGAGGTTGGCGGTCACAGCAGCTGTGTATTTTTCCTGTGACCACAGAATGATAATAAGAAGAGCAGAGATCAGAGGAGTGAAGTCAGAGCTTGGCTCACTACTATCAGCCATCTCTGATAAAACGCTGTCAGCTCAGCTGCTCTTATCTAGGCAACACATTTACACCCAGGCTACAGCAGAGGAGAAGGGCTACAAAGGACGACAGCACCTTCCAGTCACAGACAGGCTTTCATATCTGTGCATGGAAACCTGGGTAAAAATGTAATCATTTTAGTGTTGAAATTCATAATGTTGAGTGAGAAATACTGTGAGAACTGGAGTTCACATTCAGTATTATGGTAATAAAAGATCCAGACGGTGAAAGGGTTTACCATGGTCTCTGTATCCAAAGCCTGACATATCCCTTTTCTAAGCACCACAAGGCTCCACTGTCATCCATAATCTATTAAAAACACAGTGAGCCACACTGCTGGACTGGGTGACATTTCCGTCATTACCATGAATACACACGCTGTAGTTTATTTTGACTCGCTCCCACATACATTGTCCTGCTACCCCAAATACTCACTAGAGCACCAAATGTATATTTATCCACAATCCCTATTTTCTCTATAGTCAAACTGTGCACTACAAGATTATTTGTATTCTTTTGTATACCTCTTATAAATATATACTTTTACATACACCTACAGTATGATGGGTTTTGCTGTTTAAAGTTAAGCCAGTAGTCAAACTAGTATGTTAACTTTCCTCATTGCTCAGTTCATTTCTTTGTGGGAGAAGATTATACTGTTTACTGTATATGTTTGACTGAATGGTATATAAAATGGGTTATTACATACTGTATAGTAATCATGTGATCATTGGTGCAGAAGACATAGTCAAGTGTTGAAATGTTTATCATCAGCTGTTAAAAGTAGTTGCTTAGAGGTAAACTCACTGGAGGAGAAGAAATAACAATTCAGAATTTTGTTCATTTGTGAGGGTAAAAAAGGCAGGAAGAAAGAAATTTTGATCAGGCAGGATGTAGGCCAGCTAAAGGCAGGGAGAGAACGGAAAATGAAAATAAATTTAGGGAATCATCTCATAGTTCTCAAGGAGATAGTCAGCACTAACCTCAGATCAGACCTTGTGTTGAGGTCAGAAGCACAGTGGACTGTGTATTTTGTCAAGCTTACAGGTCCCTGGGAGGACGCTGTAGATACAGCTGATGAGAAGAAGAAACTGAAATACACAGAATTAGTCAAGGAGGCATGTGTGGCTGGAAAGTTAAATTCTGCCTAGTGGAGGATTGTTGTAGGGGGTTTGTAGCCAGGTCAGCTGTCTTTCTGCTAGGTGAGTTAGGTATAAAAGGGCAGGGCCTAAGACAGGTAATTAGGAGTCTAGCTGTTAGTGGGATAAGGTCCAGTGAATGGCTCTAGAGCAGAAGAGAGGTGTGTGAGAATGTGGTGAAAATAGGTGAGTGATTTATAAATGGCAACACATGTGAGGATTGCCTGTTAAGCTGAAGCAAACTAGTAAAGGAGGACAGGCTTAGTAAAAGTATTTGATACAAGCAGCAGGCCTGAGGCCTACTTCCTGGTGTTAGCATGAGCAAGCTAGCATGAGGGCATAGAAGTTTGACTGGATTGTTGGAATGAATACTAACACAGTGTGGTTTCTGATGCAGTGTAAAAGGAAGCAGACAGGCTAGTTACCTGGTGAGCTCTGAAAAGCTTGGTGGCTGGAACAACAGTTGAAATGTTTGCTAGTGCTAGTGGCTGCTAACAGTTAGCCCAAATTATCCTGAGTAGATGAAGGGTTGTGTTGGGTGTATGGGTGCAGGCAATGAGAGGGGTGGTTCTGAGACATAGGAACACACTGTCAAGCCTTCTTGGCGTCATGGGCCCAACTCAATGAAACACCAGTTTAGTGATAATGAGCACGCTGTAGACTCGCCTTCACTCCTACGCACACACACACACACACACACACACACACACACACACCGAACTTGTGCTTGTGATAATATCGTTACAGACTCACTAGAATTGTTAAGTCTTCTTTTTTAGACAATCCTGATGGTAGAACAGTGTCAATGGTTGGACAGCTGAGTGGACCCGGCTTTCAAAGGCGACCGCCCCTACAAGCCAGCTGCACCAGCGGCTGCGTAAACCTCGCAAAAACAATTCAGACGCT